ACCAATGGGGTGAGGAACTCAACCCCAGGGAGTTTCCTTAGACAACGTCCTGATCTAAGGGGAGAGTCTCCGACTGCAGACCTGCTGCTCCAAGGAAGACTGGCTCCAAGGAGTCTTCTGGTGGGCTTCATTTATACCTTAGGTTGGATCGGGGCTTGTGGTCATCTATGGTCAGGAGTCTAGAGACTTCTCTTAACTGAGGTGTTTCATTTAATGAGGTTTTTCTGCCAGGCTCAGGTAGCTGGGGTATGTGACTTGGGGCACTCTGTGTATGTGACTCCCATGTGGGCTGGGCAGCTAGAACCACAGCTTCTAGTTTAACTCTTTCCTTTCAGCAGTCAGGAAGTTTTGGTCTCTATTGGGGCATATACCTGCCACCCCATCAGCAGGCAGGTGTTCAGCCATCTCCAGGAAAGCAGGGCTCCATCACATGTAACAGTTACTTGGAGAAGACAAATGCCATCACTCCAAACATCCTCCCCTTCATTCTTCTTCCCCTTGTTTTATATGCTGAGTATGATGTCATATGACATGGAATATCCCTTTGGTCAGTTGGGGTCAGCTGTTCCAGCTGTGTCCCCTCCCAACTTTTTGAGTACCCCCAGCCTACTCCCTGGTGGGGTGGGGTGAGAAGCAGAAAAGGCCTTGACTCTGTGTAAGCGCTGCAGTAGCAATAACTAAAACATCCCTGAATTATTAACACTGTTTCCAGCACAAATCTGAAATGTAGCCCTATACTAGCTACTCTGAAGAAAATTAACTCTATCCCAGCCAAAACCAGGACAGCATATTGTTCCTGTAGTGATGCATAAAAATGGCCAAGATTTGGGAGTTTTGGTCTCACTATCCCCAAAAGATGGGCCAGTTATTTAGGCACATCTGGAGAAGAAAAGAGTCACTGTTCGTGCTCTTAAGATTTATTTTTTTCTAAAGCTATGCTTCATGGTTATTGTCCACAAAAGGAGTCAAGGACAGCATGTAAGAAGTGCTAAAAGTAAAAGCTCAGCAGCTTGGTAAGAGCAGGATCTGGGTGGTTATTGGAAATGATCTCACACACAGCAAATAACTTACTGTCAGTTCACATCAACAAGGTGACAAAGGGCAGACCATCAAAGACCTTCGTAGAGATGCGACACTGCTTTGAGGAAGCAGTGTTTAAAGCATGTTGTTTTTCAGGAAACCTGAGTCTGCTTTGTAACATCAACAGTTACAGCTTCTCAGTCAAAGGAAAAATCCTCTTTACTGAAATAAGATATACCTTGCAGGTCCCCAGTCTTCCAGTTTCACAGGTATCTCATACCATAGATGTGCGGATATGTTCCTGCCAGAAAAGTATCTTAGTTATTAGTTCCAGAACTGTTTCTAGCAAGTTCAGGATCACTTCTCTGGGTAGCCTGATGTCTGTCTTCCTTCTCCAGTCTCAGGAATGATTTATTACTGTATTCAGATATAAACAGGCATTAGTGAAAAGGATGCCTGGTAGTGGAACACTTAGTAGGAGAAAAAAAAAAGGATATTTATATGCATGTTATCTCTGCCAGAATCTAGAGCTGGCATAGTATCTTAGAAACTAAATCTTGGACCAGGCTGTCATGATCTACCTGAATATTGGAGTTGGATGAAAACAAAAAAAAGCAAAGGAAAAGAAAAGGAACAACATAGCCCTGAAAGAAAACTTATTTGGTGTTGGGGTAGGGGGGAGGATGGGCAGGTACACAAGGCAAACGGTATCTGCGTCACCTTCTAAATGCTAAGGCATTCTCAGTAGTCACATACAGTGATTGGCAAAAAAGTCCATGATTAAGGCGTATTTAAGGAAGAAAGAAGGGTAATGGTAATACATCACTCAAATTGTTCCACTATTTTGAATAAAATAATGTTTCTTTCACTTTTTCTGTGATCAAGTGTCACATTTTAGTGTTTGAGGAAGCCAGTCCTGCGTCAGCTAATTTTTTATTTTAATAGAAGAGATTGAACTGCCACTAAATTTCAAGCAAAAATAACAAGATTTCCGGGACTTGTTCTATCCATCTGTGCTTGCTTGCTTTTTTTTTTTTTTTTAATAGTCTGACTTCTTTTACACTTAGTTCTATGGAGTTTTTCAGCGTAAGTATTTTCCATTTTCTACAAACATATCCAGAGTAGATTGGTATCAACTTTCTCTAAGACTTTTTTCCTCATGTTTCTGTCCTTTGCTATGTCGTTACCTTCATATCCCTAAGATTGCTGAACATGACTTTGCCAAATAGTGTCTAAGGTTAATTTTTTTATTGTCAACATTTTCCCCCAATGCTTTGAATATTCAATAATCCTCAGAAGTGCAGAGTAAAACTGAGAAAATGGGACTTAGGTTGTTATATAGTTTGTTGCTTCAAATGATACATTTCTAAAGGACATTAAAATCGATCATCCATGTAAGGTTTCTCTTTTGCACGGTAACTGCAAGAGCTAATAGAAAGTTGCAAGACTCACCTCAGGTTTAAGGTGTATGTCTAAAATGAGCTTTTATTCTTAGAAAGATGTCTTAAAAATTAGAATTGAAACATTTCATACCTGATAACTGCTTGGCACTAGTGTCATTTCTTTGAGGCTGTCTAATGCAATGTGCCTTGATTTGTAGTGAAGGCTGTCATATTTACAGGAACGGAGGAGGGAACAATCCTAGACGCCTTGAACTCTGCAGAAAAAGCAAAAAATGTGCCACATAAAGGATCATTTGTTTGACAACCTCATGACTGGGGGTATTTTTTCATATTTTTCTGTGCATGTGTGCAAATTTGGCTGATTTTTTTCACTTTGCTCTTAGGTATTCATTAGGACGTTAGCCTATTCACCTTGGACATCTGAATCTGAAGAAATAGCCTCTGTAGAGATCATTTACAAAGAGGTTAAAAAAAAGACAAATGAACACATTGGTGGCATCAGTGATGAAGATGACAGTGATGACAGTGACAGCGATGCCATAAGTAATCATGACTATACAAGGCGGGGTATCATAAGTCGAGTACCTCATTCCTCTGACACAATAAATGTATTTGTGCAGTACTCTGCAAATAGTACATGTGACAACAGCAGCAGCCAGGCAAGTGAAAATCCAGATGCTGACCCAGAAGATTTTGAAGAGCATGAGATGGACATTGAAGAAGACAACACAAGTAGTGAGTTACTTAATCCTTTCTCTGAGGTAAACTGTAACTATTCTTCTAGGCAAAGGAACAGTGCTTGCTTTACCATTAACTTGAAAACTGTGCTGTTGGGAACCTCTGAAGAGAATGTGGATAGTTCTGCAGCTCTTCTTTCATCCCAAGAAGGTCCAGTTGACTGGCAATGTACTTGTGATTTTGAAGCAAAACTGGATAACACAGAAAGTGTGCAGAAACCACACTGTCCTAGCAGCTCTCGTGAATGGCAAAATTCCTCCTGTTCTTCTGATGACAGTGACTCATCAGATTCAGATATGGACCAAAAAACTGAATACATAAGAAGATAAGTGAGAACCACTATTACTCTATAATATATGAATCGATGTTGTCCAACTTTTATTTCTGGACTCAACATACAGATCTTGTCTTTTTCTTTTCTTAACATTCTGTGAGTATACGCCTGAACACTGAAAATACACAACATTCATTTTTAACAAATATTTCTCTGATCTCTCCAGGTTGCTCCAGGTATGATTCAGATTGAAGTATCCACAGAGAAACAAAAATGACTGTTCAGATGCAGCAGAAAGAGTAGTTATTTCATTTTGCAGTTTGATAGTGAATTATACCTTTTAGCTGTTATAAAGTAAATATTTTCTCTAACTCAAGTGAGAAGTTAGTTTGCCTTACAAGGAGTTGTAAGTGGCTGGTCGCTCAACCAGACTGCTTTTTTAATTTTCCTTTTTTATTCTTTAGCTCTGTTGATGGATCACTCTGAAACCTGTTTTGCTGGATGGATTGCTATATTCAAGTCAGTGAACTGATTTCTACGTTTGTGCAGGGAAAGCTGATCAATTGAAATAATGGAGGCAGAGATAAGAATACTCACAAAAGAGTTTTTACTGTGAATCAAGGCATTAAATACACATCTTTCTAATTTTTAATATAATTTTGTGCCATTATTGAATACTACACTTATTTTTTAAAATATGACATTTAAAAGTTACTGCATTGTACAATTATATTTTAACATTTGTGCTTCATAAAAAGAAATTTTTTTCATATCCCTGTCTGAATTTTTACTGTGGCTCCTATATGCCTTTGGAAAGCTACATGAGTTAGCCTGCTAAGAATTTACTCCCTATGGGAACACTTTTAGGTATCACAGCTGAAAAAAACCAACTTTTTTCACCTTATGTTGATCTGCTTAGGTACTACTTTTCTGCCCACAGGCAGTTTCAGGCTGCCATGGGTGGCAGTCATTCTTTTGGTCAGGATAGCTGAGAGTAATTTCTAAGGTGCTGGAATATATTCTGCTGCTGCACTGCTGTTAAGAAATGAGTAGGTGTAAGTACCTGACAGTTTGGCTCTTGACAAGCTAATTATTTGCAGATTTGTGCATCCTTAGAGTTAGTGGATGAAACTTCTGCTCACACTGACCCTCTAAGATGCTGCTGTTTGTACAGTGTAGCTGGTGTGCACCTCTCCACAGTGGCAGAAGTCAGGGGAATCGCTCGCGCGTAAGCGAAGGCGGTGGGACTGTGCCCATCCCAGGGAAAGCCAAACCAGCCCTGTAGCCTCATTTAATAACAGGAGGTGACAAAGGGGCCAGAAACAAATGTATTAAACCCACACAAAGAACTGGTATTTTCAGTTGGCAACAGTAATAGCTTGAGAAAGAACCGTTTTTACTCTGTGAATAATAAAACTGCTCCCTCTTCCCCCAAGTTTATGCTGGTTTTGATCAGGGCCACTGAACGTCCTGCTACCTTTGGTGCAGTCAGAAGATAAACCTTTCCTCAGGTAACATTCGTATTGCCTGCAGTGGGAATTTCATCCAAGGTCAGGTTTGACACTATGCGTCATCTGATGTCTGTCTATGAGTTAGTTATTTATCCGCTTTATTCTGACCTCCCGTCTTCCCAGCTGCCAGGCTGTACGCTGAAGGTGCTCTTTCGAGATTATGAGTATCTGAGCAGCCAGGCATCTAACTACTATGTTTTATACCGCAGCACCCATGAGCAGCTTTCCAGACCTGCGGGGAAGGTTCGGGTGCTGGCTGGGTGTGCTCTTTCTGGACAGGGGAACGCGGCCGTGGCGAAGGCGGGAGGCTTTGGGAAAACTGGGCTGAGCCGACCGGGGCACGGGCGATGTCCCCCGGCGGTCGGAGGCGGTCAGACCCGTGGGCGGAGGGCGAAGCCCGCCAGCCCGGGGCGGTCGCGGTGCCCGCGCGCCGCCCCGCCCTGCCCCGCCCC